TCGATTTGATGCAGTCTTTGAGGGAGGATTCAAGGTAAGCTGGTTGGGTGCTACATTTGTAGTTGAGTGAGGCTTACAGAGAAGGTAATTCGACTTTAGTTTATATTTTGGTGTCTACCGAGTAGGTTTTTTGCTTGGTTTTGGGGTTGGGTAATAATAGTATTGTCTGAATTGTTTGTAACGGCCCCGGAAATTTAAAATGAAATGTGTTTTAAAAATATTAAATGCGAAAACGAAGTCAAAATTTCGATTAACATCCCTTACATTAAAACCAAAAACGTGTTCACAAAATATAAAAGATCAAACTAACTAAAGGAGAAACTCGAAAGTAAAAGTTATGAATATGACTATGGAGTCTTTAGGCGTCCCCTTCGTCGTCCTCCTGCGGAACGGGCTCGGGAACAATGTCTTCCTGATCTGAAATAATTAAATAAGGAATGAGCTACACTAGCCCAGTAAAGACATCACGATATCTCACCGTCACGGAGGTAAAGGTGGGTAGAAAACACAAAAAAGACCAATGGAGCATAATTTACAACAAATCCTTTTATCAATAATAAATCCTTTACCATCCATTTACCTCAGTGAAATTCATAAAACAATATACGAAAGCAATAACATTATCATTATCATGAAATCATATAAACTGTATAACATAATACTTATTACGTCTTTTGTAATTCAATCATTACACAACATATTTTTCTCATTTACCAGCCCACTAGTATCCATGGGGATCCATAGGGGTCCCGCTACCCATTAACTCTTAACACTTGAAATCAGATTCCAGGGTCGTCCCCATACCCCGTCCGGTATGGGCGCCAAAACTATAAACCTCATTACTCCGTCCGGTATGAGGGTGAAACGGGCCGTCCCCATACCCCGTCCGGTATGGGCGCCAAAACACATAAGGTCTCCATACCCCGTCCGGTATGAGAGACCACAATCCCGGTAGGGTTCCCTACGGACCCGGTCCGTCCACCATCTCCCAGGATATCTAGTCAGACTGACCACATTATACAATTATCAATTTACATAATCTTTCATTCTCTTTTTCCTCAGTCAGCATCATCAATTTACATACAAACAAGCAAACAGTAGTTTATGCCAAACAAGGCAACATACAGCATCGGTTTCTCAGTCATTCAACCCATAATCAATAAAACAGTAAAATATGCACGCGAAACAATGAAATGAAAACATCAGACCTCATACTGCATTTAAAACTGTAAAATATGCCAAATAATAGTTAATCGACAAACACACTAGACTCGGGCTCCATTAGCGACCTTAAGCAATTTCACACATTCGTTGATTCAAGAAATACCGTTTTATCATTATTGAACTTTAATACCGTGATAGGAAATAGGGTGAGGGATCCTTACTCGTTTCGGGGTCCGAATACGGCTTCACAGTGCGCCTACAGGCTGTCCCTAATTTTTCCTGAATTTTTTCCGGGGAATTGAAACGCACTACCGATACCTGCACGTGTTCCAAAAAATCCCAAATTAGGCCCAGGGCCCCTTTTTGGCCAATATCGCAATTCCGGCACGGCGGCTCCGCCGTGCTCTGGCGACGGCGCCGCCGCAAGTGGCGGCAATTCGCCTCGGGTTGGCTGTTTTCGGCTGTCTTTTCCGGCCGTTTGGCCGGGATTTTGGCTCTGATTTGGCCACAGGGAAAATCAGCGTGGAAAAACAAGTAGGATGTATGAAATTTACCTCGATCGGCGGTCGGAAATCTCCCCGGTGCAGCGGCGGGTGGCGGCGGCCGGCTTCCCCGGCGTCTGGTTCGTCTTCTCCGGCGAGGGCAGGCGGCTAGGGTTTTTGTAGTCAGGTGTGGGGGTTCTATTTATACCCTTTTGCCTTTTGATCTCAACCGTCCATTTTGATTGAATCTAGGCCGTCCGTTTTTGATTGAATCTGGGCTGTCCGTGCGATTGCATCTGGGCCGTCCATGCGCACGCTTGATCTGGGCCGTCCGATCGCGCGTACGCGGATCGCCAACGTGGCCTGTCCTCCGGTCGACGTGGTCTTGCCACGTGGCAGGTCCTGGTTGGCCAGGACTGCTGACTGAGTCTGCTGACATGACTGCTGACGTGACGTTTTTTTTTTTATTTTAAACTTAATAAAAATAATTAATAATAAAATAACCAAAATTTCCCAATTTCCTGGGCGTTACATTGTTCATAGCGATTTTGCATTACTTCTTCTTGTCCCCTGGCCAGGTTATACACATAATATACATTTACAAGTTTTTGAGAACAAACTAGAGATTGTATATCTGGTGTAAGGATGGAGAAAATAGAGAGAGAACGAAGAGAGAGAGAGGGGAAGGGGAAGTTGCAGGATCAACGAAGAAAGAAGAGAGATGAATGATGTGGTGGGTACGGAGAGAGAGGAGAGGAGAGAGAAGAGAGAAGAGAGAAGATGAAAATGAAAGAAAGGATGAATCTGTGCGGCTGCAACTTCGCAGTTGTTTACCGCTATGAGACGGCGTGAGGTGACGAGTGGGAGAAGATGAAGTTATTCTTCGTATCTGCAACTGGTTCGAGAAGAAGTAACGGGTGGATTGTTGCAGAAACCGAATTGGTGTAGAATTTCTAGTAAGAACAGGATTCAGTGTAGAATTTGAAAAGGGTAATTACGCGTTCCCCAATCCTGAAAGGAAATTGAATAGAACATTAACTTTACAAACACTCTCTTCGCACCATCTCTCAAACTGGGTCCGTCGCTTACATAAACTTTTTGCATTATCTCAAACTGGTCTGTCGCACTTTCGATCTTTCTTGCAGCTTTCTTTGTTCTAGTCTTTGCCGAATAACATAAATGGGTTCTACAACAAGAATTGATCTGGAACTGAGTGCAATTCCTCGCACCCTAACATCTCCTGTCCGTAAAGTATTTGTTTAAGTTCGCTTAAATATCATTCATCACGCAGTATATCACGATGCTGCTGGTGTAGAAACTCTCATGGATGTGCAGCAATCACCTTACCCTTTTGTTTTTGCTTTCTGGGTACCATTTATTAATCGACCTCGTACATTGGGCCTATGCATTTTTCACCAACTGATTACGACCTTTCCAAACCAAGAACTCTGCAATTCCTTGACTTACCTGAAATCTTATCCTTATAGACAATTGCAACTCATTCTCCATTATTGCAGACACATGATCGAAGACACTGGTTCTAGAAACAATGATAGCGTCTCAGACATCTTTTCTTGAGTGGCTAAGAACAGAGAAGAGACTAGACGGGTAGTTATAGCAAAGTTGGAAAATTGGGTGACTGCTGTGCCTGTCTGTCTGGATGAATTATCAGGCGCAGAGGAGCTTATCGACATGCCTAGCCATCATGAAGTCTGCATCTTTCGTTGGTTGGAGAAGAACAACAGTTCGTCATCTCTGTCGCCAAGTCGTCAACCCTGATACTAAAACTTTAACACCCACAACTTCCTGATCTAAGTTTTTTTTCTATATGTAATGAAATTGAATGTATGCTGTAATCTCTTTGTAAGCATGATTTAATAACTAAGAGCACAAAATGTTGAAAACCATCAAGTTACTTAAGCTAACATATATGGTTAATGCAAGACATCCTTTCATATGGATTAATCAATTCTTTAATCTAGTTATCTTTTAATAATATTCATTTTTTTTTTATATATTGCATTAACTATATAACCTTAATCAATTACTGAAATTAATAAAAATTGTAGTGTTTATTTCAAAACAAATCATATTAATTATTTAATTACAAATTTCATATATTTTAATTGACGCATAACATAATTAAAAATATTATTAAAATTAAAAATAGATTAATTACAACTTATACTAAAATTAAAATTATTAAATCTATTAAGACTAAAATTAACCGTAACATAAGTATTTGATTCGAAATAAAATATTATTTTTATTCAAATTTCTATTCTATTTGTCTTATATTGCTATTTTTATTTTATAAAACTAAAATTTAAACTAAACTCATTGAACTAAAAAAATTCAATCCAGATGGTCTCAAAAACATTATTTAATTTTCACTTCTATAATAATCTCAGCAAGATACAGCTTCTATCCATTCAATGCAATATCTAAACCTATATACATATGTATTGCTATAAACATTTTCCCTACATGCCATGGAGAGGATGATGAGTGTTAAAAAGAAAAAAAAAGAAAGATTGAATCCATGTACAAATCCGAAAACGAAGGTTACTTGCTCGAGAAGCATTCACTCCTTACTCTTGGAGGACCGGTCTTTCCTCTGTCCCCCAAGAATACGCGATATCTGCAAACCTCTGCTGAATGCTTGGTTGAAGAGCATTCGTGTCTGGAATTCTGATACAAACGGGAACCAAGCCAGGAAGGCTACTGGCGTGAACAAAAGCAATCCCATTACTATCTCATAACCCCGAGCAAGTGTCATAATCGATCCCCAGAATCCAGCTCGCTGTATCAGAGGCTTGCAAGCTTGTGCAATCTGTACCAAATGAATAACACCAATTATAGGGTAACCGAGACCAGGATTGAGATTTGTAGAGATGAAGGAAGAAACAAGTATCAAAACATTGAGATTTATCGATCCACATACCAGCAGCAGGCCCCATCCTGTTGGCATGAAAGCAAGGATGCAGACTATGATGTCTCTCAGGGTCATATTCAGCACTACTATTAGAGTGATGAAAACGGATAAAAAAGTCAGGAATATTAGACCCTTAATCAATCGAAAAAGAAGCTGAAAGTTTGCGCTGAATTTCCGTCTGCCTACAGATACCGCCTGTATATAGGTCAGAAATTCATTACTTCAATCAATCAGTTCAGTCGATCCAAAACATAAGACCCATAAGTCATATAAGGTTCTATTTGTTACTCACCTTCATAAGAAGTAATATTAACATAATCACAACCCATGAAGCTCCATAAACCTAGCCAAAACAAAAGTAAGTTGATTAAAATTATACAAGTTACCTCATCCATTGACATCATTAATACCAGAAAGATGATACTTCGATATTGAAAAGAAAAAGAAAAGCAAACCTAGAGCACATACCAGAAAACTTTGAGTATTCTTAGTAATATTTAGATGATATACAAGGCCATATTGATAGATGAAGAAGCGGAATGCTAGCAATATCTCGGTTGTGATGCCACGAAGTCCAGAGTATCGAAGATGCTGTTGTTCCTTTTCCCACCAAGATTCCCAGCTCTTTTCTGGAGGTACACCAATTCCACCCCGGTTGTTTATCCACTTATTCCAGTCTGTCCAGTCATCGACAATCTTTTGCCACTCGAAACCTGACGGGTTGAAGAGGAAAGGTGCAAAAAGCCATGTCCCTACCATAAACCATATTGTTGCTGTTATTAGCAGATATACAATTGCACTTCTATATGAATGGCCAAATATATGGTACACAACAAGGAGAATCAGCAGTTCAATTCCCTTCACGAAATGGCTACGGGAGTAGAACCTATAGTTATCAGCAAACTTTGCATGAAACACCACGAAACCACGGCCTGTTCCTCTGTACTGTGCACCCCCATGGAGTAATGTCCTTCCGTAGTAGTGTGTTTTTGTTCCCAGAGAAAATGTGAAAAACACAGGAGCCAACTGTAGTTGCATTAGTATAAAATCACTTAGTGCACTACGAAAGCCCCTCTCAAGACCAATTTCCATCATCATAGGCAAGGCCATCAAGAACCCGATCTGCACAACAGATTGAGAAGCAAGAGCAGCTTGAAGAGCTTTGTTGTCACGAATAGCACGCTCGTTACTCAATCCCTCTTCAAGTCCACTCAAAACTAGATATAATCGGCCATAAAGGAATACGTAGACTGTAAGTACAGTTAGCTGCCAAAGAGAAGCATAGTGTTTCAGAGGGAGATACAGATTAAGTAACACAAAAGAGAACAATCAACTGCTTCCATACCAGAGTACTGAAATAGAACCCAACTGTGGTGTAATAGCATGAAAGCATCCTAAAGAAATCAAATCGATGCCCCAGCCTGTAAATGTCCCGACTCAGTGTCTGCTCACCATTTCCATTGGCTATCTTGGCCTCGAACACTGATATCTGGTTAAGGCCCACGTCTCTCCCTTTACCAACTTGTATATATTCGTGATGAGTGACGTTGCCTTCGCGTAAGGTAGAATTGAAACCTGAAGATGAGAAATACATAAGAGATCCTGAGTAACACAAAAAAACAATCATATCTATCATCTGAAAGAAAACAAGTGACAGTGCCTGCAAATATATCTTCACTTAAGTTGATGACTTTAGAAGCTTTGCTGACACCACCTCTTGTAAGATGGAATAGTCTATCAAACACATCTGGGTGACCATAGTGGAACCGGACTCTGAATCAGAGCAGAGAAGCATCAATTTAGTGCGAAATTCAGAAACTTCAGATTGTTTTATGTAAAACAAAAGCAGAACTCCTACTTCAATGGGTTAGCCAGCACTCTCTGCCCAATAGTTACAAAACTATTCTCCTGATTTGACATAAACCATGCAAGAGATGAAACACTGCGCAAATCAACAAGAACTGTATTCAATGCTATGCGTGAAATGTAGTAACCAGAAGAAAGAAAAGCAAAATCCAATTCCATTAACAATATGATTTAAGATGCATACCTGCCGGTGAATATGTGCTCCCGAAATCCAAGTAACGTTGGTGGTCTAACACCATGATGTTTAACAAATTCTTGCAGCAAGTTCCTCATTTTGAAAGCTTCTTCCATATAGTTATCCTATGTACGAATGGTTAAAAAACTAAGCTTTTCTAATAGATCTACTTCCCATAAACTGGAGGCACAATCTAAATATCAAAATACAGTACCTGATTCATGTCTATTGTTTGTAAACCTTCACCACGTGTGAAAATAATAGCATGATTCTGATTTTCTGGTTTCCCTTCTCCCAGTATTGCAGGTCCTGGAAGCTTTATACGGTAGATAACCTACAAAAAGAAATCAAGATTAAAGAAAAGACCAAAAGGAATCATGGAGAATATTATTAGAGTAAATGCTATGAATAAAATATGGCTCTAGCAGCTCTAGGAATGCAATTTTTAGTTCCAGAAAAGCTCAACTAATTGACACAGTTAGACCTGTGATGATTGTTTCACTTCATCACACAAGTTTTAACTCTTAAGACAAGATGTTTTCCCTTTATGCAGTTTGTATCTAACAATATTTTAAGAGAGGTGTCAGCAAGGCTTCTAAAGCCATCAATTTAAGTGAAGATATATGACAAGATGGAAGAGTCTGCTTGGCTGCTTCATTTGCCAGACTCCTTCAAGGCAGTTCTAACCAATAATTTCTCTAATTTTCCAGCTAAAAATTTAACCTTCGATTTATCTTGTTTTCTATCTTCTTGTAAGTCTGTAGAAATTTTTCTAACACATACTGCAATTCCTCCATAACTATTTGGTTCTCATACTAAATTGTTATGGTCCCAATTTATGGATCTCGGTATGGGATTTTGTTAATATTATGATCGTTTTAAGAGAGAACCATAGGGTCTCTGATTTTTGTTAATAGTATGAGCTCATCAAAAGAGAAGACAGCGATTTCTTGAGTAAGAAAGTACTCTTGACTTTTTCATAAATTTTTTCTTGCCTAAAAATCTGTTAAAGAAAGACAGCATGTACTTATACAAGAGAAATAATAGTTATCTGGAAGTTATTTCTAAAATTAACTACTCCCTTGTCCTAATCTAGACTTGTTTTCCCTAATATGCATATCCATATTTCATATATCATTTCACATATAACATATACTGACCCGTTCTCCCAATTACACTTGTCACTTAACACATCATTTATTCTCCACAATACACCATAATATTAACCATAACATTGTATGTATATACAAGAAGTCCACGTTTTAAAGGACTTTGCATATGGATAAGAGCAAGAAAAATACAAACATATCCTATATCCTATCTATCTTGAATGTTATAGAACTTGTACCTGGTCTAAAGATTGAACAGGCTCAGAAGAATCCATGAGTTTAGTTGGCACAGAAGCTTTCACAAGAGCTGAATAATAAACCTTCTGAACAGTCTTTTTAGATTTATCTTTACTAGCTTCCTCAACCTCATCGATGTAAGCCACGCGAAGAGATGGATACCTGGCACAAGTAGCAAACTTAACCAGCTGTTGTTCAGGAAAAAAAAAAAACAGATCAAAACAGAATAAAAGGAGATATACGTTGTCATAAGCCCCAGAATATCTTTTGCACGAGCATCACCAGACCGTTTATGAATCCCATACTTTTGACACGAGACCACATAAGTGAACTTCATATCAGCTACTGCCTGACACTGCACCCAGAGTGATCTTTCACTCCTCAACTGTTCCTCACTGTTTAACTCAGCAGCCTTGTAACCATTCATTAAATCTGAATAAAAACAATCAATAGTTTGAAGAATGCTTACGCATTTAACAAAAGGAAAATCACAATGAAGAATTTTCTTAATACCTTCATCTTTTGCCATATCAAGGAAGGCCTGAAGCTCCAAAGCTTTTCGGTAATACATCATGCCCCGCACTTATTTGTGGAGAATGCATAAGCAAACAAACATGGAAAACATAGTATCACATAAATGCTAAGAAGAAAACATAAACCTTGAAGTCCGTACCAAAATTTACATGGCAAAACAGAGACAGAGACACACCGGTTTTGGTCAATGTTTGGCCTCTATATGATGCCCATAGTCGAAGCTTGTCTTCAAGATCTTCTCTCGCTCTGAGTTCTTCCTCACTACTACACTCAACACGTTGAAGAAAGTTTTTCCATTCATCTGCAATAAATCATGCATTTAGAATATGTTTAGAAGATAAAATCACAGTAATCACTTCCAAATACACATAATGGTTCAAAAAGAAAACCTGGAAAGATCTTTTGTAAGTAGAAAAGGATAGAAACTCCATCTTCATTTGGTTTTTCCAGGCCATTTATTGAGAAAAGAACATCCTCTTCATAGTAAGGAGTTAGGACCCTAAAAGAACAAAAAGAAAAACATATTATTGAGGAGTTATTGCCTCTATTCGAAAAATACTCACGAAGACCATATTAAATTAATTTAATCATTAGGATAAAGCAGCGGCTAAGAATT